CGGCACAGCTGTCGTGATTGGGGGAGTTTAGTTGTTGTCCTGGTCCATTGTGACGGCACTGATGGAAGCTTTTGCAGCTTATGGAGTGAAATGGAGAGCTGTGCTTCTGTGTGTGTGTGAGTTCATATGTATGTCTGTTGACCGGTCTCAGTTTCGGTCCAGTTGCCGCTGTTCCTCCATCCCCTAACATGCCTTCAGTCTGACATCAGTGGCCTTAGAGAGAACGGCACCCTGGGTACAGTGTGTGTGTGTGTGTGTCTAAGTGTGTGTGGTCATGCTCGACTACTGCACAGCTGAATAGACAGGCAGCTCCTGCATTAACAAACCACTGACCAAACACAAGTCTAGGCACGTGTGTGTGTGTTTTTGTGTGTGTGTGTGTGTGTGTGTGTGTGTGTGTGTGTGTGTGTGAGAGAGAGAGAGAGAGAGAGAGAGAGAGAGAGAGAGAGAGAGAGAGAGAGAGAGAGAGAGAGAGAGAGAGAGAGAGAGAGAGAGAGAGAGAGAGAGAGAGAGAGAGAGAGAGAGAGAGAGAGAGAGAGAGAGAGAGAGAGAGAGAGAGAGAGAGAGAGAGAGAGAGAGAAACCACAGACTAGAGCCACAGAATCCCTTTCCCTCTTTTATTTGTCCTTCCTGTGGCACAAAAGTTTTGTGACTGGTTGAAAAGAAATAGTTCAGCTATATGAAAATTGTTGACATTTGCTCAACCTAATTTGTTTTAAAGTCGCAATGGAGTCAAACTAACCCTATATGTTACAGTTATTAACCCTATATGTTATACATAACACTGTTTTTTTTTTCTAAATGCATATTCTAGATCTTATTGTGAACAATTCATTAATTATTATTATGATATTTTTAAATTGTTTTGACCTTGTAATGTTTGATCAAAAACTGAACCTTCTGGACCACCCTGTAAAATCTCTTGTTCAATCTTCCTCCAGTTTTGAGTTCAGTGCTCAATCTCAAAATCCAATCAACAACTGATGGATAGAACCAAGTCCCATGCTACATTTTTCTTTTTTGATAATCTGTTACACTCAGATGTACGTCGCAATACAGAAAGATGATCTGTCTCTACTTCTGTTTCATTGCATCTTTAATATTTTTTTCTTCTGTGGAACAGAAAGTTATACAGAATGTTTATGGCTGCTCTTTCCATACAATGATACAATGAAATTGGCACAGGGTCTGTCAAGCTCCAAAAAATGACACCCATCACAAAAGTAGTCCATATGTATTGTGTGCTATATTCCATGTTTTCTGAAGCTGTACAATAGCTTTGTGTGAGAAAATAGACGGCAATGGAAGTCTGACAGTCTAGCTTTGTAAATCTTGCTTGACAGCCGTGGTCACCATTTACTTTCATTGGGTCTCATTCATTACACACGCTTTACACAAAATTCGTTCTGCTCGTGTTTCAAGTGGTTCTGGCGTAAATTTTCGGATTCATTAAAATGTTCGTATTTTCCAAATGTTAGTTGGTACACAAGAAATTTACACCTGCTCCAGCCACGCGTAAATAGTGCGCTAACACCGAACGTTTTGCTCATTAATAAGGCTGCATTTTAATTCACCTTAATCGGGTACATATTTGCACAGCATTTTGAAAAAATATTATATATAGTAAATTACATCGGTTTTTCTTATTATGAGAGCCAGTAATAGCATCTGCGATGGTGGTCCTTCTCCAGTTTGAATACTATTTTTCCGAAGTGAACTAATTCGTTTTTTGCTCTCAGAGCTTAATGTCGAACCATTTTCTTCTCACTTCTGGGAATGTTCGATTAACAGATGAAACTCCATTAACTGCATCTGTAATATGCTGCCAAGCTTCCTTTTTTTTTTTAGGACCCGATACGCCACTATGTACGCTTGAAAATAAAATGTGGCGTTTTGAATGAACTTCTGATAATAAAACTTAAATTTCTGCATCTGAGAATTTTTTTTTTTTCATTCGAATTCATGTCATATGATGCCCATATATAGTTGTCAGTCGGATGTAAATGGGCGGGATTTATGGTAATTGAGAATGAACGTGCACGCGCCTCCCATTACGACTGATTGGAATTCATTAACACACACACACATTTCACTATCACATCTGACGTTTATGAAGTATTTGTGAATCAGGAGAAGAGTTTTCGGGAAGGTCTCTACGCGCAAATCACTCGCATATTTACTCGTATATTTACGAATGTTTCATGAATGAGACCATTGTATGGAAAATAGCAGTTTAGCTTCAGATGCTCATGCTATATATATATACAGGTCCTTCTAAAAAAAATTAGCATATTGTGATAAAGTTCATTATTTTCCATAATGTAATGATAAAAATTAAACTTTCATATATTTAGATTCATTGCACACCAACTGAAATATTTCAGGTCTTTTATTGTTTTAATACTGATAATTTTGGCATACAGCTCATGAAAACCCCAAATTCCTGTCTCAAAAAAATAGCATATCATGAAAAGGGTCTCTAAACAAGCTATTAACCTAATCATCTGAATCAACTAATTAACTCTAAACACCTGTAAAAGATTCCTGAGGCTTTTAAAAACTCCCAGCCTGTTTCATTACTCAAAACTGCAATCATGGGTAAGACTGCCGACCTGACTGCTGTCCAGAAGGCCATCATTGACACCCTCAAGCAAGAGGGTAAGACAGAAAGAAATTTCTGAACAAATAGGCTGTTCCCAGAGTGCTGTATCAAGGCACCTCAGTGGGAAGTCTGTGGGAAGGAAAAAGTGTGGCAAAAAACGCTGCACAACGAGAATAGGTGACCAGACCCTGAGGAAGATTGTGGAGAAGGACCGATTCCAGACCTTGGGGGACCTGCGGAAGCAGTGGACTGAGTCTGGAGTAGAAACATCCAGAGCCACCGTGCACAGGCGTGTGCAGGAAATGGGCTACAGGTGCCGCATTCCCCATGTCAAGCTACTTTTGAACCAGAAACAGCGGCAGAAGCGCCTGACCTGGGCTACAGAGAAGCAGCACTGGACTGTTGCTCAGTTTTGCATGTCATTCGGAAATCAAGGTGCCAGAGTCTGGAGGAAGACTGGGGAGAAGGAAATGCCAAAATGCCTGAGAAGTCCAGTGTCAAGTACCCACAGTCAGTGATGGTCTGGGGTGCCATGTCAGCTGCTGGTGTTGGTGCACTGTGTTTTATCAAGGGCAGGGTCAATGCAGCTAGCTATCAGGAGATTTTGGAGCACTTCATGCTTCCATCTGCTGAAAAGCTTTAAGGAGATGAAGATTTAATTTTTCAGCACGACCTGGCACCTGCTCACAGTGCCAAAACCACTGGTAAATGGTTTACTGACCATGGTATTACTGTGCTCAATTGGCCTGCCAACTCTCCTGACCTGAACCCCATAGAGAATCTGTGGGATATTGTGAAGAGAAAGTTGAGAGACGCAAGACCCAACACTCTGGATGAGCTTAAGGCCGCTATCGAAGCATCCTGGGCCTCCATAACACCTCAGCAGTGCCACAGGCTGATTGCCTCCATGCCACGCCGCATTGAAGCAGTCATTTCTGCAAAAGGATTCCCGACCAAGTATTGACTATTGAGTGCATAACTGAACATAATTATTTGAAGGTTGACTTTTTTATTATTATTAAAAACACTTATTTTATTGGTCGGATGAAATATGCTAATTTTTTGAGACAGGAATTTTGGGTTTTCATGAGCTATATGCCAAAATCATCAGTATTAAAACAATAAAAGACCTGAAATATTTCAGTTGGTGTGCAATGAATCTAAAATATATGAAAGTTTAATTTTTATCATTACATTATGGAAAATAATGAACTTTATCACAATATGCACATTTTTTTAGAAGGACCTGTGTATATATATATATATATATATATATATATATATATATATAACTGTTGTTGTTTTTAACAAATCCTTTAAGTGAACAAATCATTCATATTCATTTCCATGCCCTGACTAATATTTTTAGGAAAGTAAAAAAAAAAAATCAAATAGTAGTCAAAAACAAACGTTTTATTTTTTGTCGAACCCTTTTTTTTTTTTTTTTTTTTTATAAAGTTTGGACCTTTAATTTCAGTTTTATTCTCATTTAATATAGAATTCCTTTATTTATTTATTTTTTAAATTATTATTATAATTTTTTTTGAATAAATTTCAAAACTTCATATGCTCATGTTAAAAATTAAGGTCTTAGAGAAGTTTTGATTTTCCTGTGTTGTGTGTCTAGCTTTCATGTAACTATTACACACCTCTATTAGAAATATAAGAAATACTCATTTCTTCGCCTTTGTCGCTTTTGGCTTGCTTAGTTGGGGACATTTCATTTTATATTTTACAATAGTATTACAACATTATTTTCCTGTTATCTCTGTAAAGCTGCTTTGAAACAATCTGTATTGTAAAATGCACTATATAAATAAAGGTGACTTGACTATAAGACTTGATACCCAAATGATCTCATTCTGACTATAGCATGACTATGAGACGGAAGAACATTATTAAAAATAATTTATTCAGACGGCTATTGTCACTTTTTCTATAGCTTGATTAATAATGGACCCCAGCACTTGACAAAATGGGATGCACAACTCTGGCCCTCGAGTGTAGCTCCAACCTTGTTCAAACTCACCTTCCTATAACTTTCTAGAAATCCTGAGGACCTTGAATCGCTTGTTCAGGTGTGTTTTATTAGGGTTGGAGCTAAACTGCATGAAAGTGGACCTCGATGACCAGAGTTGAGAACCCCTGACTTAAACCAATAGTTCAGTAAATGCTTAACCAATAGAATGACATTGAGGCGGATCTATCCATTTGTCTGATCAATGGCTAATGGCTTCACTTCACTTTTAAAGCTGTTAGACGAATAACAAATGTACTCTCTTTAAATGTTTCTTGTGTTTTGTATTGAGACTGTGAGTGTGTGATTTGGGCATGTTCTTATTTTGAGATTGTTCTCTTATGTTTACACTAATTTAAATCTTTTCTATATCTTTTTCAGATACGTTCCAGTCTCTAATATCATTCTCTCAGAATCACCTGACCTCTCTGTTCGAGACCACTTACTCTTCCCTCATGTCGTCCATCTCTCCTCACATCATCTGCCTCTTTACTGACCTATCTCGGTTCATCCAGGGCACCGGCAATGTCTCCGTTGAAGCCGCTGTGCACTGTTTCTTCGACAGTCTCTTCCCGTTGGTCCACACTCGTATAGTCAATCCCGGCATGGCCTCGAGCATTGACGCAGATACTTCTGACGACAACCAGCTCGGTGACTGTCTCCGCATGACGAGGCAGGACGTTAACCCCTTTGGGTCGTACCCAAAAGCGATGGCAAAGGAGCTTGCGGAGGCATTGCGGGCAGGTCGGGTGCTCAGCTTGGCGCTCGGCGTAGGGTCAGAGGTGATGAACATTACGGAGACGGCGGAGTTATCAAAAGAGTGCACGCGCGCTCTGGTGCGCATGCAATACTGCTCTCATTGCCGTGGGCTCACCCTGATCCGGGCATGCAGTGGCTACTGCCTCAACGTCATGCGCGGGTGCTTGGCCAGCCTCTCGGAGTTACACAACCCATGGAGACAGTACGTCACCGTCCTGCAGGATCTCTCACACATGGTCGCCGGAGCGCACAATCTGGAGCTCGCTTTGCTGGGGATCAGAGGTCGAGTTGAGGAGGCCATTCTCTATGCTCAACTTCATGGGCCCAGGCTAACTGTCACGGTGGGTAGGGCTGTGTATCACCAACAATGTCACGATACGATACGCATCACGATACTAAAGCCACGATACGATACGTATCACGATATGGATCAATTTGGAATTTAAATTTCTTTTGAGCAGAGTTTAGTAGCAGTAATATCTTTATTGAATAAACAGTGTTATAACAGTTGTGATAACTGAAAAACTATTTCGTTTTTGTCATTAAAAAACAATGAGAGTTCAATTAAATAAGTGTTAGAATGTGCACCAAACAAAGTAATTTCTTTACATTACGTTGAAATCATTTTAAACAAATAAATACAATAGAATAAATATAGCCTACCAATAAAGAGAAACGTTTTTGAATAGGTCTAGCAGTAGGCTAGTATTCAGAAATACTACAGACACTTAAAGTAATTAAATGTAAAATAACATTGGGTAGTATTTTAGTCCTGACTAAATTAAATACATTGGCTATAAATCCAGATTCCTTTTAATTAAAGCTATCTTTTGTTGTTTTGACGACAATATTAATGACAGACACACATGGCTGCTGTCACTTTAAGAGCTAGTGCACGGATCCTGTGTTCATTATACTGTCACATGCATTAACCGACTGTATTAGATACTCACCAACATTTTTGTACATCATTTTGCTTGTTTTTGTCCGTAAAAGCGATATAATCCGTGAAAAAGAACTTTTGTTACTCACAGGCTGTTTGTGAGGCGGCTTTACTCTATGTATGCATGCAGAGAAAACCATCTCTCAGAGAGCGTGCGAGCACTGAATAGTTTAAAATCGCTTGAATGTTTTGCGTGGTAGGACTTAAAAAGACGAGCGAATGGTAAACTTAAGTGACAATGCAATACTCGCCCGAATATGCAAGTGAATATTCCGTCATGTCCCAACTCCCGAAAGCGAGAGTGTATCGCCGCCTTCAGCGCATTTGACGCTTGCCTTGAGCAACCCATTTTGAGAGACAGAGACAGAAGACGCGGCACAGCTGAACACTCACGCTGTTTGTGAAATTGTGTCTAGAATATTTTATTTGTTGCTGTATCAATACGCGCATCGTCAGGAGTTCATGACGATGTATCGTCGTATCGATATTCTGAGCACAGCCCTAACGGTGGGTATCAGTGTGCATAGTTTAAATTGTATGCTATAGTAGGGCTGTGAGATTACAAACATTTTATTTTCGATTTTGGCTTCCAAAGATTATGAAAACAAGCAGGGGCAATCTGAAACCTTGCAATTGTTTTCTGACGGGTGATATTGATCATGTTAGGAGGGGTCAGGGGGTTTCTCCCCCTGAAATTTTTTATATTCTGGCTGCTAAACATACCATTTCAATGCAGTTTGGGAGGGACAGAAATACCTTAACGGAGCTAGCAGCAACCCTCCTCTATCTGAGGACTAAGTATCTATTTTGTAAGTTTATGTAAAAGACAGGTTGATGAAAGAACTGTAAGCTCAAATTCAAAACCTTTTGAAGTCTACTTCATTAAAGCATGTTTACACACACACTTACTGTACACTTAGGCCTACTACACATGATTTTAAAAACAGTACCATTGCAGTTTTTATGTTATGATTTTAAATTGGTATGTGACCTAAGAACGATCTTACATTAAAGGTACATAAAGGTGCTGAGGTCTGACTTTGTGGTGCTCTGAAATTAAGTTATTTTAATATTAATATGTGATGAAGGACTTTGAAAGAAGTTTGACAGATTTCAGTGCTGAATATGGTTAACACTACCCCGTTTATTTGAAAATGGTTAATATTTGACAGAAATGTAAAAAAGTAATCAAATCAAATGTAATATGTAACATTACTTTAGTAAAATCATTGAAATACTGTTGTTTCAAAATAATGTTTCAAAATCGATCAGATAACGTTACTATGGCTTATTGGCTTTGTATGGCAGGCTGTAACGTTAGCAAACTAGTTTACGGTTAGACTAGGCTAGCTATCGATAACGTTACACTGACACAACTTAAGATAATGCTCTGAATTCGCAGCTAATATCAAATCCATAACTTTTTGATCAAGTTAAAATTTCCAGGTCAACCACAAATAATCCCACTACCATTTAATATCATCTGATAACTAATTCAATGACGATTTGTTGCTTTGCCCACTTACCACTTCAAGACCATTTGTAAAACATTGCCAGCTCAACGTGCGAGACGAGTGAGTTGTTTGAACATACACAGCAAAGATTCTAGAGCGTTACGCGCGTAGCGCTCTAGATTTGATATACACAGACACTATATTAGGAAAAAAGGGCGGGCTGATGCTGACCGATTTATTACACATCCAGAAGAATACATTTGATTCGTTATAGGCTCTGGTAATTATGGAGCATAATAGGAATAAAGTTGTGACAAAAAAATTATCAGGGATGAAAAATCTGAGGGGGCACGTGCCCCCTCACTTTGAATGGGCATGACGCCACTGAAAACAAGATACTCAAGAGAAAACGATTATTGTGCTGCTTTACATCTAGCGAACCACCTTTTCCTTCAGAGCGGTGCACTTCATATATCGTGTCACAATACATCGCAATACAAAAATGCAACATGTATCATGGATAGTGACTATCTGTATTGTATATAGTTCACCCAGAATGAAAATTACTGTGTGAGAAAAAAAAATTGTGTCAGTACTACATTAAACTACTATATATAATGTTGAATATAATGTATAATAATGCAATGGGGGAATATTTGTGGGTCCTGATAATGCCAAATGTCTTACCAGTAAAAAGTGGCCTACATTATTTTAAATATATCTAGTCAGTGACATTGTGCAAGCATATTCATCTAAAATAATTCTGTATTTTCAGCTTCAGAATTATATTTTTATTCTGGTGTCACCATTGTCCTGTGCATTGGGTTTACAGCATCAAGGCCAAGCCTATTAATTTTTACACCCAATGCAATAACCAAATTTAGCATTTTAAGCAACAGTACATTTTTTGTTAACCTTTTACCAAATGTCTCGCAATAATATTGTATCGTGAGTTCAGTATCGAATCATGACATGAGGGTATCATTACACCCACTATTATTGATACATTATTATTGTATTCACAAGTTTGCTCTTACATATAATCGGAAAGAGCAAAGAGCAAGAGCAAAGTCGCTTGTGGCGCTTTGCAGACTCTGCTCTGGCTGTGAGCATTCTTGTGTTTTGGAAGAGGCATGGCTTTGGAGAGCACTTTGAAGGGAGGGTGGGTTCTAATGCTTTCAAAGCTAGCTTGCTATTGCTAGCCTCTCTAAAATTGCCGACCCTACCTTTAACCTATTTAATTATTGCAGGTTTGCATAATATTCTGAGTTTTCATTTGAATCTGTTTTATGCAAGTTAGATAGTTAATACATGCTTACCTTTACTCTAGAACTACAATAACCATCATTTTCACACAGCGCACACACCTCACTTATGATAAACTTATAAAAAGTATATTATTACTTATAAAAAGTAATGTGTTACTTACTTTCCTCATTGCTTGAAAAAAAAGTGATCCGATTACATAACTCGCTTTCCCCCAACACTTGCTGTAAGGCTGTTGTATTTCATCTTAGCAGGCTTTTTTTGCAGAAAATCTGAAGTCTCATGGAAATCCTGAAAGTTCAGGCAAGGTCACTACTTCTGCGAGATTCTTCTGGTGCCGTGTGTCTGAACAAAGTGTCTCTTAGGCTGCTGTTATCTTGTAGTGTCTGAATGAGGGTTTGGAAATGGGAACTTTTTTGGCAGAATTTTGTTTGTACATTTGTCACTGACACACATACACACATGCTCTTAGCTTTAAACTTTAAGTCCATTTATCACACGTTAAGTCAAACTAACATTTACTCACCCTTCAAAGCCACTTCATGGGATTGGAAAGACCTAGCCAAAGTGAACCCAGTCACTTTATTTTGAAATGCTTTTAAACGTGACGCTCCATTAGAATACTGGCATTATACTGTCGGCCAGTGTGTTTATTTTGAAGCTGTTAAAGATTGGTTTGCTTGGAGGGCAGAATGTGATTGCTTAACTGAATTGTGATGATGGCTTTGGCTGTGTTTGAAATGGAATACTAGTGAACTACTAACTTTGTGCAGCATGTATGTTGCCTGCTACTTATTTTCCAAAACCCGAAACCGCATAAAATATGCAATGATATAAACAATAGTATGGGGAATTGTTAATGCATTGTATGTTATATTTTAGTGGCATTGAAATCTGGAAATAAACAGTGACTCTTTTTGCAGTCCAATCAAATATGTCAAGAAAGAGATGTTTCAAAATCACGGCTGATATTACTTCCTGTTCATTTGTCATACGATATATGGTTATAAATGGCATTTCCAGTTATCCTTCCTTAGCAGTGGAAGCTAAAAAAAAAAGTAGACCTAATGGCGAGGGATATATAGTAGGCTAATTAGTTGGTACTATTCTAATCTCATGTTGAGGCTTACCGAGTAGCTTGCAAATGTTTAATTTGACGAATAATAGCTTCTATTACATAATATAAAAAATTGACTTATAATTAAAAATGCATTGATTGTTTATATTTTCGAAAGAAGTCTCTAATGCTCACCAAGGCTGTGTTTATTTGATTAAAAGCAGAGTAAAAACAGTATTATTGTGAAAATATTATTACAATTTAAATGTATTTTTCTATTTTAATACATTTTTAAATGTAATGTATTCCTGTGATGGTAAAGCAGAATTTTCGGCATCATTACTCCAGTCTTCAGTGTCACATGATCCTTCAGAAATCATTCTAATATGATGATTTGCTGCTCATTAAACATTTCATATTATTATCAATGTTGAAAACAGTTGTGCTGCTTAATTATTTTGTGGAAACTAATAAAAAAAATTAGGATCCTTTGATCAATATAAAGTTCAAAATAACATTTATTTATTTTGTTAAAGGAGAACTCCGGTCAATTTTAACATTGAGCTCATTTTTTTGTACATTTGGAGTGCTGTCAGTACAGACAAAAACGACAAAAATCGG